TCAGAGCAAGCCAAAAATCATAAATCGATATTACTTTGACTGGCAAAATAAAAAATTTGGAAAGTACTCGATGATGACAACCAGAACGAATATAAATATATGATGTTTGAAATGAAAACTTTCAAAAATGGAAGACCATAGACACAAGATCCGCATGTGGAAGATAAATGAAGCAAAATTAAAAACATGCCCCGGAAATCTGCAGCTAGTCCTATGGAACACAACACTGGGTGATTATAAATGACTAGGTCAAAGTCCAAATGCTGGAGGATGTAGTCATAACAGCACGTGTCAACACCTTTGACGTGGTCCACAAAAATGGTGGAGTGAGGGAAGAAAAGTATTGGTCGAATGATGAAATAGCTCAAAGAAGAAAAGAATGCCTAACTATCCGACCTATAATAACAAGTACAAGTAGAAAGTACCGTAAAGCAAATGGAACAAGGAATAACGTTCTGATACGTGAGTTCAAAGAACAATATTAAAATTCCAAAAACGAACGAGAACTAGAAAAGCTCATAATGAACTCTAAACAGAGGAAAGACTTGAATTTCATTTTCTACGTTAGCTACACAATTTTGAAAGTCTGTGGCTGTCAACTGTTTAGATTGTTCCCCCACGGCTGAGTATTCAGCGTAATCTGCTCCTAAGACATTATACAATCTGTATTTCTTGTGATGTTTTCTTCCTCTCTATAGTTCTGACACTTTCTTACTTAAAGTGAATAGGATAACCACGCTTGATTTTAAATTTAGGTACACATGCTTCAACTACATCTTTGAGCTTGACCGTAAAAATTTCAAACATATCATTGACATCTGAACGATGCGGAAGCAGTCCATCCCAATTGATAGTCGACAGCATTTCATTAATATCCATATACTTTTCTACATCTTGTAAAATAGATTGCATAACAACTTATGTACAAAAATAATCAAGCTTACGTATATCATAACACATCAGGTAAAAACTAAATAATGGGATATGGTGAAGCATGCACTACGTTCCCATGTATTGTAATCCATAACGAATTCTGCGTATATCGGAGTATGTTTTGGCCCCACGAAAAGGTCGCACTCCCATTTGTGACTCTTCTTGCATATTTTGGGAAACACGCTCGGACACGTCAATTTTTATTTATAGGATGACGTCTTTTCACCTATAGCCGTACAATATTGCGTTACAGTTTAGATTTTCGAATGGAAACCCCCATTTTTTTTATTTTTAAATTCTCCATCAAGTTTTCAGTAACTTTTGTATAATACAGCTTATACCTATCTTCAATCGTTATGAAGCTATTTGAGTTTATTACAAAATTCTAGAAACTGTGATAAGAAGGGCTCATATTTGAAAGTGCAAACAATTCTTCTTCTTGACAGATAAGATAGATGTTGTCCATTGTTGCCAAGTTGTAGCTTTTTTGGAAGAAATACGTAATAAAAAATGAGGTTATTTTCAAAATAAAAGTCTTAATTTATTGTAAATGGCTTGTTTTATAAGAAGTTTTTCCAATATTTACCGAAAACCAGATAAAACTTTGAACAGTATCTGAATAAACAGTGGAAAATGCACCAGCGGCTCGCGTGACAAAAAATACAAAAGGCAAAAGATCAACGGCCATTTCACCAAATCATCAATGCAATGCTCTTTGTTATGTTTTCATTATTTATTGATTGGCAATACCTACTTTTTCAGTTATTTCTCATATTCACATTTTGTGAAAGTTTGGGAAATCTCGAAACTGGAGATACTACAGACCAAAATATGTGAATTGACCTAAACATACCTTAGTACAAAAGTTGAGCGAGATACAGGGTGTTAAAGTTACAATCTTATTTTCTATTTTTCCTTATTGCTTAGGAAGTATTTCAGATTTTGGTATAAAACTCGGTATAGGGAGGTTTTCTAGTATGTGAAACAAGAATCCTTTATCTTGTATGGCCAAACTTCTAGAGGGCGTCAGTTAGAGCACTATTTCGGTAAATAACTTATCATAACTGTTTTGTTTGTTTTGTGTTACCATATACATATATATATATATATATATATATATATATAAAGAGAAAATTATCATGCGGAGAAAGGTATATAACAAAAATAGGAAAATAATGGACAAAATCCGCAAAAAGTAGATTCGAGCAGAAAATAGGATAGGTAACCCGAGCGATACGTATTTCTGCTGGTTGGCTTCATCAGGCCCGAAATGAATGCACATATGCAACTACAAAAGTAGAGACACATGCCCATACATCCTGATACGGGTGTAACCTGAGGAAACGAAGTTGGAGGAAAAAAAAACGACACACGAAGTCCACAACAAGAGCCAACCTGCACATTGTAGTATAAAATGGCTAGAAGACCTCGAATTTTCAAGGTGACAAATAACCACAACCACGCGGTCGGTTATATTGTGGTTATTTGTCGCCTTGAAAATTCGAGGTCTTCTAGCCATTTTATACTACAATGTGTAGGTTGGCTCTTGTTGTGGACTTCGTGTGACTTTTTTTCCTCTCCATCTTTGTTTCCTCAGGTTACACCCGTATCAGGATGTATAGGCGTGTGTCTCTACTTTTGTAGTTGCATATGTGCATTCATTTCGGGCCTGATGAAGCCAACCAGCAGAAATACGTATCTAAATAAGTGTCTAAAGTTAATAGTTCCCGAGATATTTGTTTTTAAACGTACATTAAATGCATATCAGAATATCACGTATACTCCATGATGTTTAACAACTTATTGTCAACTCAAAATTATTCATGAAGTTTGAAGCAATATTATGACAAATATTAGAAACCATAGATATTATCCAGAGTAACTTGATTATTCTGTTATAAAAATGTTTGATCATGGTACAAAGAATGCATTGGAACTTTTAAAAACAAATATCTCGATAACTATGAGCGTTAGATACTTCTGGCAAGTAAACTTTTTTGTTGTGGAAATACGAGAAAATAAGATTTTTCGTTCAGTTGTTGTATACAGGGTAGCACAAAAAATGTATGATAAGTAATTTTCCGAAACAGTAAGTGGCGCCCTCTAGAAGTTTGTCCATAAGAAATAACGGATTATTGTTTCTCATACTAATAAACCTCCCTACACCGACTTTTAAGCCAAAATCTGAAATACCTCTCAAGCAGCAAGGAAAAATAGAAAATAAATTTGTAACTTTGACGTCCTGTATTTCTGAAACTATCAACTTTGGGACTGAGGTATGTTTAGGTCAATTCACATATTTTGGTATGTAGTATCTCCAGTTTCGAGATTTCCCAACTTTTCGCATATCCCATTTAATTAGGTATATTTTGTGATATCAGCTTCACTTTAAATAATTCTTTAAGTTCATACATACAAAAAGAGAATAGATTATAGCTATAATATAGTAAAAACAATAACCGAAGTAGTTTTGTCGAGGGCATTAGGCATTCTTCAAAAAAGAGCTAACGCTATCGTAGGGCATTTTCATGACAAACCAAATTAAGGTATATTACTATCAATGATTTGGCAACATCGCGACTAGATGGAGAAAGTATGATAGTGTTGGTGGCATAGTGATGGGAATATTTATCTGAAATAAAGGAAATGATGACTATTTAACAATTAACTATTTTCATCATTAAAATAGTGCAAAATTGCATTGTTGCGATGAACAGTGTCACAGTAATCCACAGCGTATGTTATATTCATATAATTTTGAGCAATATGTTGTGTAAACAAGAAAAAACAGCTTATAAAGCAGTATTCTATGCCACAGTATTGTTACACAAAATACAACATTGAAGTTCTATAGAATAGCAAGCAGAGGGCTCCTTAACGAAAAAATGATAATTTCGTGCAAATCACATCCTAATCTTTCATTTTAAAATAGTAAACGTAATACTTGCTATTTGCGCTAAAGTATAGTTCAGGCGCCCCATGTAAAAAGGACGTAGACTCATCCAGGAAACAAACATTAAATATCAGATTTGCATTGCTGATTAAATGTTAGGACATTAACTCGCAAAACTTCAACCTTCTATCAAATTCGTCTTCATTATGTTCATCGTCAAGTTTTATCTTGTACTTGTGAAGTTTGGTTTTCCAAAGTCTTTGTATTATTAAGCATGTAAATCATCAAGAAGCTGGGTGCTTTTTGTGTTATTAAGTGCTACGTGGCGATTACGGCGAATATTAGACAGAGATCCATTTACTTCAAATTTTCTTACCAACTTAGCCACCTACTTGTTAATATTTTTGTGTGGATGTTACGTATTGAGCAACTGGCAGTGGCTCTTGAATATTGAATAAGTCATTGTTCAATATTTATCCAAACTAGGTAGGTAACTTAAAAATTTGAAATGAAAGACATTTTTTTACGACATATGATGACACTGACTGATGTTCTTGTTGGTATCCATGATTATAATAATTATTATTTGTTGCCGTGCATTCCACTATTATCAGTATTAAGTCGAATTTTATTATAAACTCAAATAGCTTAAAAACGTTTGAAGATAGATATAATTTTTATTATATAAAAGTTACTAACATCTTCATGGAATATCTGAAAATTATAAAGTGGGGGTTTCCATTTAAAAATCTAAAACGTCACGGAATATCTTATTTTTAGCTCATCCTGTAATGTATGGCTATAGGTGAAAAGACGTCCGCCTGGAAATAAAATTGACGTGTCTGACAGACATAAATGGAGGGACCTTTTATAAGAAATATACAGTCGACCGTTGTGTGAAATGACGTTTACGTAAACCAGCATCGGTTATAGGATTATCTACGATAAGGTATGCAATTATTTTTTCCAGTATGTAGTGATTCACAGTGGCATCGGATAGATTTTGATTTTTGTGTTACCAAATAAAATATCCACTCATCAATCATGAATACTTGGTATCTTCACAGTTTTCATCATGTTCCAACTACCCACTCATCAATCATATCTTCACAGTTTTCATCATGTTAACAGTACTTTCAAAAGTCACAAAACACAGTTTGGATGATAATGTTACCTGCTGGATATCCCGGATGAACATGAAACTTAAAGGCGGCCGGTGAAATCAGCTGCGAACAGGACAGTTGCACACCGTGGTTGAGAAAGTGCACCAGAAAACCACAGGTGGCCACCACCCAACCCCAGCCACCTTCGGGGTAGTAGTGACGGCACAAGAACCGACGGGCTTGCAGCTGCTGAAATAATTTTCAGTTTTCAGTTTTTCTAAATAGCTGTCGTGATAGTTGAGCATTATTACTCGAGAAGATAAGCCCACGCGCATGCGATCAGGCTCTATAGCGCGCGTGACGTCACTTGGTGACAAAAATCGTCCCAGACGGTTGACAAGAGTACTGCTTTACATGCACGTAATTTGCGATTAGTTACGTTAGTTTGTGAATCTCTCTGTGAAATATAATTAACAAACATTTGACGTGGCAAAATCACGCCCTCTCACTTTTGTCCTTGATTGACAGTCAACTGACTGACTGACGGAAGAACTGCTGAATCACTGGTTAAGAAGGCGTGTCGGCCCATCATTTGGTTTAAAAATTGTTTTGGCCCTTGTTTGGTGCTACTCTACGTCCATTTTCATGGGATTTTAACCTCTCCAGCGCAAGAAGGCATTGAGGGGGCGGACCAACCTAGATTGAGTAGCAAGAAATTTGTTTTGGGCGTCTTATCTTGAAAGTGTACTTACATCATCGTTTGCCTTTACTTCCCTATTTGTCATTCTATGACTTTCAACAACAGAAACAGCACGGACTGAGGGTTCATGAAGTTACATCTATTTCTTAAGGTGACCAACGTCCATTTTAAAATCCCTCATGCCGACAAACAAAGGAAGGAGCCACAATAATCAATAATTAAAAAAAATATCAAGTAATATAATCAATAACGGCAGTTACCTACCGTTGCCGTATCAACAAAAAAAATCAATAATAGAGTAATAAGTTATGTTTAAAGGTCTCAATAAATTTTCAAAAGTCTGTTGAAAAGATCCCACAAATTATTTGGCTCTGTTTACCTGTAGGTATGTCCAAAATGACGGGCCCCACGTTGGGCCTCACGAAATTTGCCACGCCTTTTTTATAAATAAAGAAAATAGTGGTGTGTTTCCTATTTTTCTGCACCGTATATTTTGAGTGCGAGGCAATTGGCCCATACTTTGCGCCTTACGACACTGTGCACTATTGGTTACTGATTTAAACCAAAAGGACTGAGCTTCTGTGAACAGAGGTCACCTCGACTGCGTCTAGAGCTGTGACCGGGAGAAGTCAACCATCCAGATATGTTTAGGTTTTAGTTTTCTTTTTAAATTAGTACATTTCAATTATACTTCTGATGCTATAATATTTGTAAAACCTATCGCGTTCGTATACCATGGTAAACGTTTAGCAGGAATAATTATCATAATTTAATCATTTTCTAGAGCAGTAATTTTATATAATATATTATTTAATTTACATAGCAGTAGTGGAACATTTTATTGTGGATAATTATGTGCTACTTGATTTGTTGATAGTTAATATACAGGGTGTTCCTTAATGATATTTAAGGGTGTAAATCTACATGAAAAATTAATGTTGGTTTGCTCAATAAACTGTGGTTTAAAAATGTTTCCCTACAAAAACTCAGGGTGTTGAAGTTTTAGGAAAACAGATGGAAATTAATTAATATTTTCAGAACCACTTCAGATACTTCACTGATATTTAGTACGTAGTGAAAGTTGATAATGTTGCATATTTTTCAATGCAAAAATAATTTTTAGCGTTAACAGTGACGTACGAAAAAAATGGTAAGCCAATGCTTTTTTGAATTCCCCGTTCAATTTAAAACAAATGATCTCTCTTCAATGGTTTTCCTTCCATGCGCCATTTTTGAGTAAAAAATAAAAACCGTTCTATTGTCCGAGAAAATTAATGTAATAATAATTGAAAAATGCAATTTAGCAATAAATATCTAGTTGCTCTGGAATTTGTCACTGGCTTTTGACATCTGACAAGTCTCTGTTATTCAAATCTGTTCCTTGTGACATCGTTTTCATTCTTTCGTCGTCTTGTTAAAACTGGTTCTGTCCGAAAAGGAACATCTGAAGCTAGACCTCTAAGTGTGAGAACAGCTGAAATTGAGGAAGCAGTGCTGCACAAAGTCAAAGAACATCCTGAAATGAGTACGAGAGTATAAGATCGCTAGATACTTAAAAATTTGCCATCAAATTGTTTGGAAAATTTTAGTGGATTCTTTGTTATATCTTTACCATAGCAGAAGAAAATCTCTATGCCATAACCGAAACCCATTTCCAACACCAATTTTCGGTTAACGTATGGAGAGGAATTATTATTATTATTACCTCAAGTTTCCTCAACAACAATTGCCTTTGCTGCTTGACGATGTTCCGTTGGTAATAAGAAACAATATGTGGTCAATGCATGATGGTGCACCAGCGCATTTCAGTGTAGCGGTTCGTAATTATTTACAAACTGTTTATCCAAATCGTTGGATTGGCCGCGGTGGGCCTCGAGAATGGCCACCAAGGTCGGCAGACCTAAACAGTTTAGATTTCTTTTTGTGGGGCTATCTTAAGACACTAGTGTACACAAGTCCCATTAACACTATAGAGGAACTAAGAGAAAGAATAGTTGCAGCTTGTGATAGAATAAAAAACACTCCAGGGATATTTCAACGAGTGCGCAATTCCATGAGGAGGGCGGAAGCATGCATTCCAAGTGAAGGGGGCCATTTTCAACAATTTTTGTAATCACTTGGTTGGTTTTAATGTTATGATTATGTTGTCAGTTGTTGTTGTTCATTACCCCTAATGTGTTTAATTTTTCCAATTAAGTTAAGAATAATTTTGCAAGTTAGACAACAGAACGGTTTTTATTTTTTTTACTCAAAAATGGCGCATCGAAGGAAAATAACTCATTTGTTTTAAATTAAACGCGGAATTCAGAAATTATTTTTATTTGGCAAAAATCATTTTGTATTATTTTTTTCTTAAGTCAATACTGTTAAAGCTAAAAAAATTGTTTGCATTGAAAAATATACAACTTTATTAACTTTCACTACGTACTAAATATCAGTGAAATATCTGAAGCGGTTCGGAAAATATTAATTTCCATTTTTTTCCTAAAACTTCAACACCCCGAGTTTTTGTAAGGAAATGTTTTTGGAAGATAGTTTATAAAGCATACTAACCTTATTTTTTCATGTAGATTCACAGCCTCAAATATTCGCATCATTATGTGTGATTCTTTTAAATGTATTGCGTTTTATTTGGCTCTCTGTACAATTAACTAGTTGACGTCATTGCTATTAGATTTATTTATTTTGTGTGGGTGGTCAAGCAAAACAAGTTCCGACCAACATCTCGAAGATTTGTGGCTTCATCCGTCTTGAGTCCCTGGCGCTCTTGACCCCCCCCCCTTCGCTCGGCTTTATTGAGGTAGGACCAGATGTGCACCCCACTAGACAGTTGACAAAGGAAAACGGAAACACACCACCATTTCCTTTATTTATAAAAAAGGCGTGGCACACAGTAAAGTAAACGTTCAACTTCGGTGTAATCTGCAGCGGTGGGCTGTTCAAGCAACAACGAAAAGAAAACCAAGGTCATTTTAAATTGGCGTTTCCTGAACAGCATGTTCAAGAACTAGGATCGGATGGTTCCGAAAACTTTCCAGGGCTTATTGCATACAACTGACTGAAAAAAGGTCTGGGTTATATTCCAAACAGCAATAAAGTTTCATTTTCCTGAGTGAACCATCTTCCTGAAGTTGACCTACTAAAACCAAACCCTGATTTTGTAATTAAATGTAATGAACTCGAACATATTTTTTTAAATGTCAACGATGAGTCATTAAGTTGACAGAAAATTATTTAAAATCGTTAATGAGCTTAGCCACGCCAGTTAGATGTAAAATATATTTCAATATCTGTATGTTGAATAGAGATATAAATGAAAGATCTAGAATTGGGAAAGATAGTAAAATAAGCTCTATAAAACTGTTTACCAATACAAAACACTTTTATTAACACGTACCCATAAAAAAGATTAAAAAACCATTAACACATTTCATATAAAATTATAAAAATGTTACATACCGGCTGTTTCAAATTGGACCACCACCATTGAGATCTCGGAAACAGTAAGAGATACGAAGCCGCTTAAATGGGAGCAAGGTTAAGTATTTAGTAAATAATATAATGCCGCTTAGAAACTTTCCAGAATCCAAAGTACTTCCGGAGAGAGACAAGACAAGAGACGAAACGTCATATTGAAATTCTGATTATGCCACCTTATAAAGGAGAACATGTGGCAATGTTATGTGCAATTTGTTTTGAAATCCTACTGCAAATGAAATAAGGAAAATTCGGTTTTTTCCGTCTCTCTCCGGAAGTACTTTAGATTTTGAAACTTTCCAAGTGGTAATTTGTTAAATACCTAAATACGCAATTTTGCCCCCATTGAAGTGACTTCGTATCTCTTACAGTTTCTGAGATCGCAATCGCGAGGGTCGAATTTGAAACACCATGTACACTGTATCCTGTTCTCCACAATTATTCTGCACAAAAAGGTAATATAAAAATTAATGTGTCACTGATGCGCAAATGTATTATTTGAAACCAGTTTACTTCAATAAAAAAAGTCTTAAGTCTATCGTCAATTTTTCATTTTTTTAAATAAAACGGCAACGTATTCTGTCTCTTTAGATGTACTTCATTAAATTGTATTGGCGAAACGTCAAGATACAAACAAAACGTTCTATACAATACTGAAATTATCATGTAAAGTCGACAACGCAAAAAAATTTTAGGCAAATATTCCAAATATCGAAAAGAAAACGCTCTCATACTAGCGAGCGGAGCATTTGTCACCGAGTGACGCCATGCGCAAAGTGGTACTAGATTCAATCGCAAAGTGAAAATATCTTCTCGAGTTATAGAATCTTGATGATCTACGATGTGCTATAGTGACATCCTTTTCATCCAATCTCAATAGAACAAAATTACACATAAGGTTGCACGAACACAATATAATATACATATAAATCCGAACACCCATTTTAAATGGTTTTATTTTAATAAAAGTTGGTGAATGTATTTATCTTACTGTAAATAACAAGTGAAAAAAATGTCAGCCTTATCAGTTGGACATTCTGGTTTTTATACTGCTTTTTTTTTATTTACTAACGCTCTAAAAATGAATATTTCAGCCGCAGTAAAGAATCAACGTTGGCGGATTTTGGTTCTTGACATCCTTTACGAACGGTTACGATGCCTAGAGTACGGAGACCTGTACGATTTCGTCAACTTAGTGAGTTTGATAGGTGCCGCATAGTGAGACTTCGGGAAGCTGGACTTTCTTTTCGGGCAATTGCAGTTAGAGTGCAAAGAAGTGTAGACACTGTGGTTAGGTGTTGTCAGGCATGGCTTCGAGAAGGCCGTACGCAAAGAGCAAGGGGCACTGGACGCCGCCGTAGAACAACAGACCGTGAAGATCGCCGCCTAAGATTATTGGCCTAAAGGGACCGTTTCTCCACTACCAGGTCCATTGCAAATGAATGGTTTGCAGAACACGGAAGACCTATTGGCAAGCGAAGTGTTTACCGACGAATGAGAAGTTTTGGCTTGTTTTCATACCGGCCACACTGGGTCCTCCCTTTAACTCGAGAACACCGATGTAATCGCCTTGAGTGGTGCAGACAACAGTCACTCTGGGATCAGGAATGGACGAGTCTCGATTTTGTTTAGGCATGCACGATGGTCGTGCCAGGGTTAGAAGGCGACGTGGTGAAAGGAGGAATCCACAGTTTTTTGTTGAAAGACATGTTCATCACACTGTTGGAGTTATGGTTTGGGGTGCTATAGCTTATGCTTCCAGATCACCTTTAATCTTCATCAGAGGTAACATGAACGCGCAGCGTTATATCCACGAAGTTCTAGAACCCCATCTTTTACCCTATCTTGACACCCTGGCAGATCCAACTTTCCAACAAGATAATGCCCGACCACATGTTGCAAGCGTCACAATAGACTTCTTCCAACATAATGATGTCACATTGTTACCATGGCCACCAAGATCTCCCGACTTATCCCCAATTGAGCACGTGTGGGATATGATGGGTAGGAGATTGCTCAATTTGCAACGTCCTCCTCAGACTCTAGAAGCACTTCGAGAGGAGTTGGTGGTTGCCTGTAATGAGATACCACAGGAGGACATTGACCACCTGATCAGAAGCATGCCTAGGCGCGTTGGAGAATGTGTAGCACATCAGGGTGCATCCACACATTAGTAAAGGTCAAAGGGCTTTAAAGCAGTGCAATCATTTTGAAATTTTTATCATTTACTTATTATGCTTCATTATGTACTTATACAAAATTTTATTAAAATAAAACCATTTAAACTGGGTGTTCGGATTTATATGTCACTTAGTATATATATTATAATAATAAATCTTACCTGCGCTTGGTTCTTTGTTGCCGTATTCCTTGCTTCGTCCGGTTGCGCAGCGTTGCTGAGAAGCGGCCAACTCTGGGCACGCGACAGCGACGTTGACATAGTTCACGCCACATCTGACACTTGTCACCTGTCACTCGCACGTATTTCGTCACTCACTTTTCATCACCACATTTCGGCATCGTTTTAGTGTTTAACATTGTTCGATCATCGGTTCAGTTTGGCAGATTTGTACAATTGTCCACAAAAGGCTACAATATCAAAGATAAATAATTGAAGACACAAGTGGATGAAGGTGTCATGTAACAAAATCATTTTATTGAGAAAATTGACTTCAAACATTTTTTATCGGGACTTTTTACTTTATTGAAATTTTAAATATTTAGTTTAGTTAGTTATTATCTTTTCTTTAGCAACAAAGTAATCACTGTAATCATTCCTTAAGATCAGTTTAATGCAAAAAGCATTTTTTTTAAATGTTGCATGACACCTTAATCCACTTGTGCCTTTCTTCAATTAGTTAGGTTTTTTAGCTTCTACATGCTTACATATTTCTTTTAGTAAACTTGCGAAACCTTAGTTTTCTGAACGGCAGAATTTCCTAGGTTAGCCTTGAAATTATCAGATAGTTTTTTTTTTAATAACTTAGGTTTGGCGATGTCAATGTATGACATTTTTGCAATCAGAATTACAAAGCAATTCATCTATTCAATATGGCGTTCATAAGAGAAAATAATGTTGATGCTGAAGAACAACAGACGAATCCTCATATTAATATCCTAATTACGTTATCTTGTTAAGGAGGAAGAGTGGCAATGTTACCGTGCAATTTATTTGGAGTTCCCACTACAAATAACGTCAGGAAAAAAACGGGTTTTGAGAAAATTCGTTTCTCCGTCGCTCTCCGGAAGTATACTAAGTGACATATAAATCCGAACACCCAGTTTAAATGGTTTTATTTTAATAAAAGTTGGTGAATGTATTTATCTTACTGTAAATAACAAGTGAAAAAATTTTCAGCCTTATCAGTTGGACATTCCGGTTTTTATACTGCTTCTTTTTAATTCACTAACGCTCTAAAAATGAATATTTCAGCCGCAGTAAAGAATCAACGTTGGCGGATTTTGGTTCTTGACATCCTTTACGATCGGTTACGATGCCTAGAGTACGGAGACCTGTACGATTTCGTCAACTTAGTGAGTTTGATAGGGGCCGTATAGTGAGACTTCGGGAAGCTGGACTTTCTTTTCGGGCAATTGCAGTTAGAGTACAAAGAAGTGTAGACACTGTGGTTAGGTGTTGTAAGGCATGGCTTCGAGAAGGTCGTACGCAAAGAGCAAGGGGCACTGGACGCCGCCGTAGAACAACAGACCGTGAAGATCGCCGCCTAAGATTAGTGGCCTTAAGGGACCGTTTCTCCACTACCAGGTCCATTGCAAATGAATAGTTTGCAGAACACGGAAGACCTATTGGCATGCGAAGTGTTTACCGACGAATGAGAAGTTTTGGCTTGTTTTCAAACCGGCCACACTGGGTCCTCCCTTTAACTCGAGAACACCGACGTAATCGCCTTGAGTGGTGCAGACAACGGTCACTCTGGGATCAGGAATGGAACAGTATTGTCTTTAGTGACGAGTCTCGATTTTGTTTAGGCATGCACGATGGTCGTGCCAGGGTTAGAAGGCGACGTGGTGAAAGGAGGAATCCACAGTTTTTTGTTGAAAGACATGTTCATCACACTGTTGGAGTTATGGTTTGGGGTGCTATAGCTTATGGTTCCAGGTCACCTTTAATCTTCATCAGAGGTAACATGAACGCGCAGCGTTATATCCACGAAGTTCTAGAACCCCATCTTTTACCCTATCTTGACACCCTGGCAGATCCAACTTTCCAACAAGATAATGCCCGACCACATGTTGCAAGAGTCACAATAGACTTCTTTCAACATAATGATGACACATTGTTACCATGGCCACCAAGATCTCCCGACTTATCCCCAATTGAGCACGTGTGGGATATGATGGGTAGGAGATTGCTCAATTTGCAACGTCCTCCTCAGACTCTAGAAGCTCTTCCAGAGGAGTTGGTGGTTGCCTGGAATGAGATACCACAGGAGGACATTGACGACCTGATCAGAAGCATGCCTAGGGGCGTTGGAGAATGCGTAGCACATCAGGGTGTATCCACACATTATTAAAGGTCAAGGGGTTTAAAGCAGTGCAATCATTTTGAAATTTTTTTCATTTTCTTATTATGCTTCATTAAGTACTTATACAAAATTTTATTAAAATAAAACCATTTAAACTGGGTGTTCGGATTTATATGTCACTTAGTATAATTCAAAGTTGAGTTATTTACTTTAATAGCTTCTAGAACCCGTCAAAAGAAGGCGATATATCAAAAATCACTTGTATAAAATTTACATAATAAGATAGTTTACACTATTGAAAATTATAAAAAAAAAATCATTATCAAGGTAAAATGGATAGATACCGTTTTCACAAAAACTTTTCTAAATGGTCCCCGTTTGTTCGATTGACGCAATATCTTGTTTGGCGAATCCACAACCCTTTACCAGCGTCCACGAATTAAATCACAAGCATTATCAGTACGCTGTTCAAGTTCTTCAAGAGTATTTACTGCTCCACTATGATTCACCAATTCTTTTTTCAAATAGACCTACATGCTTTAAATCCATCTATTCGGAAACTCATTATTTAGATGTTCATGGACTCGTTTAAAATATGGTGGAGCCCCATCATGTAGGAACCACATATTCTGTCTCACATTTAGAGGAACATCTTCTGATAATTGTGGCAGATTGTGTCGAAGAAAGTCTAGTTAAATTTAAGTGGAAAAAAGCAATTCCAAATATTATCCGAAAATTCTCCATAATCTAAATGAGATAATATTTTACTTGGAATAGGTAAGCTCATTTCAACGGTCCACTAATTTTAAATGAACGGGTGTACACAATATAAGTAAACAGTTTGATAAGTTTAATTAAACGATACCGTTTCGATTCAATTAAACTAGTTTCATTCAGGTAAACTGTTTGTCAAATCGGAACTTAATCGGACTAACTAATATTGTTAGCTGTCACATGTTAATTAGTTTTTTAGTTGGCCAATTTAAAACTTTAATTGGATTAATTGAACTTTTTTCTCTGTTAAACTGGTAAAGGACTTTGACAATCTCACTAAATAATACTAAAATTAAAGACGATCGTAATGAAGGTACTTCCCTTTTACCTGTCATACGTCAAAGAAACGAACATTAGAAAGCTCAAAAAGAAAAGTAGATAGGACTACGCCTCTGGCACATCTCAACTGAGGTACATCTCTCTATAAGAAGAATTAGATAGTAAAACATACATACCTATATGCCACGGACAGAACTATGTTACGTACCCACTTATATGGTAGTCATAGCGTTTCATATTTTCGCGTGCATTTGCAATAGAAATAATTTGCATCGGCTTGTTTGAATCCTGAGGAGCCGGAGCATTGCTGGGATTGGTACATGTTTTATGTATAATATTCGTTCCGTATTTGCTTAGGCTTTCCATTTTCAGGGATATGAATACCGGCGGCACAACATCAATTCTCGTTTTACCAACATTTGAATGAAAATATGATCCCTTTAGACTGGCTGTGAGTTTTTATAATTCAGCCACCACGCAGTGTAGTGTAGTGGGTAGAGTAGAGCTATGGGAGGATACAGGGAAGATGGCGGGACGTCGCACGGACTCTAACGGAAGAAGACCCGTGCATTTCTATACAGGGTGATTCAAAACTCGTGACCATAAATAAAACATCATACAAAGGGCCGCATTTTATGGAGGGTCTTCTATGTAACATTTTTTCCTCGAGGTATTCATTAAAAAGATACGGGGGTGTTGAAGTTTAAAAATAAAAAACTACTTTTTTAATATCTTCAAAACCGTCAACTGGAATGCACTAAAATTTGGTATGTGGATTTACCTAAGCATTGTCCAAATTCAAAAGTCTTTACTTAAAATTATCGTGCACCAGTGGCGGAGTTACAGGGGATTGGTAGCATTATTTTTCCAAATAAATATAGTACGCCACGAAAAAATGTAAACATGACCTTGCCTGCAGAAGGTTGATTTAAACTTCTTTGGCGGCGGAGAATTTGCGTGTTTCCATTGTAGCGATGATAGCTTACTGGATGGTTCACAATAATGACATCAAGATTCGTCGCCAGCAATTATTGAAGAAAGAAAGTTATTATCGTTTTGCTTGTACTCCGTGAGATCTTGCAAAGATAAGTCCATTCGCAAGCTTTTTTGGTGCTCTGACAAAAGGCGAGGAGTCCATTGCGCATAAAGTTTGCTGTAACCCAATTTGTGTACGACACTATGGACAGATCCTATACTCACACCAACATTTTCTTGAATTGTTCTGATTGAAGTTCGACGATTTTCTCTAAGCATGCCTTCCACACATGCCACATTTCTGCCTGCTGGTGTAGTACTTAATGCACCTGGTCGCGGTTTATCATTCGTCTCCTCTCTTCCACTCTTAAAATTTCGACACCATTCCTTGACAGTTACGCAAAACATGCGTTTTCATACACACTGCTTGCATTCGCGTATGAATTTGCGATCGTTGCAAACCTTCAGCACACAAATGTTGCATGACAGCGAGCTGATTATATTTGGACGGATTGTTAGCCACAAATGCCATTTTTAGGTCACAATACTTACAATCGGAGTCAAAAACAAATGACAGGAACTGATCAGTGTGTTTACAAACACAACTAATATTACACAACGTCAGTTAAGTGACTAGAATTGTTTCTAAGGCTAACTTGATCAAATATGGTGTGACGTGCCAAAATCACGTAACCTTTATTTACAGTTTTGACCGCTTATCAGTAATTTGAATTTCTCTTTATTAATAGTAGAGTACCGATTCCTAGGCCAAAGTCTTTTCAATGATTTTCTTTTCGCGAATTTTATAGTTTATTGATTGTATAATTTCTCACGTATTATATCTGTCATTCTCAGCGACTCAGTATTGTATTGAAATCTTTTGTTTGGACACTAGTGTTATAGTATTATTGACGACTATCTTAGAAATTTCCTCATAAAATATTGTTCGTCCCTCGTAGACAGATTTGTTTCTGTCTACAGTCTGCCCATTGGCAACCAGCGCGCCATCTTATGATTTTTCCACGTACGAGCCGTATGTTTACCTTCCTATCAAGATACCTTCTGTTAAAATTT